ATTATTTGTTTTTGACATTTTCCACAGAAAAATCAAGGAAAGTCTTAGTTTTCTCCATCAAGTACTTTTTGTCCCCTCCCAGGTGGTCAAGTTCTTTTTAGGTGGCATTTAGGCATCGAGTTTGTGTAAGTCAACAAATGGACAACAGCAAATGTTCAGCCATCTTACTGGTGTCAAGCTTAGCAAATTGGCAAATATACGAACATACCAAATGCATAAACAAGTTTATATGAGGCGAGTATTCCAAATGAGGACAGCAGCTGCTGATTGACCCTTAAGAATAGAAATGTCTCTCCTGATCTTCTAATCTGCTCCTGTCCCGGGTTGGGAAATGTCAGCTCTGAGATTTATAGACTTGGGGCTCTGGGGTAACAAGCTGCTCTGTCAGCCCCAAGAGCTTCTTGTTATCCAACCAAAGATACAGAGACATTTTTAATTTCCCTGTATAATTCTTTAAAAATATATTTTTTAATCCTCACTGAGGACATTTCTTTCGTTGCTTTTAGAGAGAAAATCAGGGGGAGAGAGAAACATCGATGTGAGAGAAACATCGATGGTTGCCTCTCATTCGCTCCAGGCCTGGGGATCATATGTGCCTGGACCAAAGGATGGACCCACAACCCTTCAGTTGTGGGACAATATTCCAACCAGCTGAGCCTCACCTGCTGGGGTACTGCCCTGTTTAATTCTTGAGTCATTCATAACATCAGTGGTGGGCTCAAAAAAGCTTTTTGTTTTTGGACATTGGTACAAAGTACTCATTAGTAAACCATAAAAATTTTCAGAAGAGATTCCCTTCAGCTAGTAAACTCTTCATATTGGTAACTGGAGAATAAAGCTCTTAGTTTGCACTTGTTTTTCGGTCTGGGTTTAATTAAACCTAAGCAGTACCTTCAGGGTAATGGGAAAAATTCAGTTTCTCCTCTGCTCCTCCACAACAACTTTTTTTTTTGTATCTGTACAGTTTTTCCCTAATCTCTCTCCTCTAAAATTCCTCTTTAAAATGTTGATGTCACAAAAATGGTTTTAATGTTTTGGAGGGTTGTTAGTGTATGATTAAAATTGAATATCTGTGGTTCATTATTCAGTACCAAACTTGATATGGGAAACATTTGCTGGTAATCAATAAAAGCAGCTTTAGACATTCTTTACAATGGCCCAGATATGAAAACCGCCTAAGTGTCCATTAACAGATGAATGGACAAAAAACAATGGTATGAAATATGTGTACATGCGTGTGTATACACACAGTGGAATACTACTCAGCCATAAAAAGGTGAAACCTTGCCATTTGCAACAGCATGGATAGACCTTGAGGCTATTATACTAAAATTAAGTTAGAGAATGACAAATATTGTATGATTTCACTCATATTTAGGGGGAAAACAAATGAACAAACAAAACAAACTCATAGATGCAGACTGCAGCTCAGTGGTTACCAGAAAGGAGGAGAGTGGAGTGTGCAAAATTGGTACATGGGGTGTAGGTGGGTGGTGGACGCACCCAAGACCACTGGTGGTGAACATGTAGTGTATGCATGTCAAATTATAATGTGCACCTGAAACTTATATCATGTTACAAACCAGGGTTATCTCCATAGAAAAGAGCTTTATATGTTGCTACAAATAATCAAGGGGAAGGCGGAAGACACTACTGATCTAGTTGGTCCTGTAACTGCTTTTGGTCAAAAGAAATGGATAAACCACTTGACTCAGGAATCTCCTTTTCTTTGATTTCATAGTGTCAGGAGAATCTTTCCATGGATATTTTATTTATATGGAGAAACAAAACCCAAATCTCAAACCACCACTTATAAAACCCACAAACTCCCGGGCTGTCATTTGGGTTGCGGACTCTGAACTCCTTTCTGGTTGTGTTCTGTGTAGTAGACGAATGTGCCCGGTGGGGGTGCATTTTAAAGCAAATGGATGTAAAGATATAATTTAGTGATATTTTGCTGAGTGCAGTCCTCGCAATACATGTCTTCATGTATTTTACTATTTTAACAATATTTAGTTATCTGTTAGCCTACTTGAGACAGACATAATAATTTAGTAGTTATTTCAAACATACATAATAGCTCAATATATGTGTCTGATTATGATATTAGCCATTTTTGGTTAACTTCACTACTATTTTTAACTGTGTGTGAATCAGTGTATATTTAACAAGTGAGCTGACTAAATGCCATTAAATGAGTTGTCCTTATTTTGGCTTACGCCCTGCCCGAACTTTAAGTTTTCATATTGAAATCCAGCATTTAAGTACTACTTTCAAATCTCAGCCTTTTAATTTTGGATACCAAATATGGCAGATTTATTCAGGTGGCCAAGTAGACTTTTTCTGACCTTGAATGTGGTTTACTGGCATTACATTAAAAAAAAAGAGAGTCGGTATTTGCCATTTTAGGATAGCATAAGCCCATGAGGTTTTCCAGAGATCATTTTTAAAGTCTGACTTGCAGCTGCCGAACATCTACATTTTTTAGCTAAAAGGCATCTTCCTTGCATTCGGCTCTAAGTGACCCTGGAATGCAGTGAGGGGATAGTTTGCTGTGGGTTAATCTTTGGACACTTCAGATCTGACAGGCACCAGCATCTGTGGTTTGTATTGCATTGTTCTTCAGGTCTACAAATAATGTTCTCCTAAATCTGGTGATGGCTAGGGGAATGTTTACTGAGATTGGTTTTCTTTTCCATTTGCACAGTTTTAAAGCTGCAGGTAAAACATAACACAAGTGTGGTTAAAAAAATCCATCATTCAAAAAATAATTCGTGGCACTAGTAAGGTTGAAATAAAACCAGGAACTCATGTTTTGTGTGGGAATATTCACCATGGTGTTCTCTTGTGTAGTAGCGTTGTATCCGTGTTCTTCAACGTGGGTGCCAGGTGTTAGTTCACCTGGGCTTACCGAGGAAAGTGTATGTTTGTGTGGGTGTGTGTGTGGGCTAAGGCATTATTCGTGTTTTCCACAGCACAACCAAAATGTCAAAGGAGATACTTCTGTTTTAATGTAATTTTAATGGAACCTGGACTAGAGTCATTGGAAAGTTGAACAGACCACAGTTCATTTATGTGCAGTCAAAGAGCTTTGGGCCCTCAATATTGGATATATGATCTTATTAAAAATGCCTTTGAAATCAATAAGAAATAAAACAACCTTAAAATGTGGTAGCATTGACTTCATTCTTTTAAAGCATTTATTTTCAATTACCTTATTTTTTAAAAATGTACTACATTGTTTTTGATTTAAAAAATGCTTTTTTTCTGTGTATATAGTCACTGCTGTCCATAGTACATCATTGCTTTTTATTTTTTTGCAAAACAATCTCTATTCTCAGTCATTTCAGAACCTAATCCTTGAGGCGGCCATTTTGCTGAAAAGCAGCCCAGACAGCAGCTGAGTGTCAGCCTGGTCTGGTTCTTGATGAAAGAGCATCAAAATGCATTTCTTTGCCCATCACAGGCTTTAGTTCTAAATTTTTAAATGAAATAAAATTAAGGCCAGAGAATTCAATATAAAAAGTATATCTTGCAGACAGAACACTCATTAGCATCTGCTTGCCAGTTTCAAATCTAGGAGCAGGGAAACCACTGTAGTGTTACACTGATATTGAACTGATAACAAATTTGATGAAACCCGGGCACTTGTGAAGTGCAGCTGATAATAATGGTGCAAACTCAACAAAAAGTTCAGTAGAATCTGTAGGAGGCATTTTCTCTCATTTGGCCTTGTTCTGTTGGCTGTTGGCTTTTGCTTGGCAGGATGAAGGCATGGCACTTATCTCCCCAGCTAGAGAGAGTTTAATGTGCTTAAGTGTTGAGTATGCCCTGCTGTTACCGACTCTCTGAGACAATGGGACAAAACAGATACGTGGAAGCAATGTAGTTGTGTATTGCTAGGAAAACTCACCCAAACGTAATACAATTCATGTAAACCTGAAAACAATTTGCATTGTTTGTTTTTTTAAAGGTCAGCACTTAAAAATGTTTTTTAAAATTTATTTATCTTTAGAGGGGAAGGGAAGGAGAGAGGAAAAGAAATATCAATGTATGGTTGTCTCTCGTGCACCCCCTACTGGGAACTGGCCTGCAACCCGGGCATGTGCCCTGACTGGGAATTAAACCAGGGACCCTTTAGTTCACAGGCTGGCACTCAATCCACTGAGCCACACCAACCAGGCCTGCATTTTTTTGTAATCAAAATAACAGAAGGCCCTTTGACTGTTGGAAGACCTCTTTTCCTCTTTTTTCTTTAAGGTGCAGTAAATCAGTGGGCCCATAATCTTAGAAAATGGGGTAACCTCAAATATTTTCCTTTAGGATTGATGGTATATTTTGATTCTTAACCACTTCTATGTAAAATTAAATGAGATTTTTCATATAATTAGGCAACATCTTAAAACATATAATTGGTCATGTTTCTGCCCTGCCAAGTTAAGAGAAGAAAGTCAGCCTAACAATGGGGCAAATTCCACTAATTAAAGTTATACCCAAGTGGGTTAATATGATGTAGATGTTGGTTTTAATTTTTAATGGAGCTTGAAAGGGTAATGAGTCCTGAAATGTTCTGTTTGGAAAGCTATGCTCTGTAAAAGTCGCCTTTAACACAGCTGATGAGCCCTGGCTGGTGTGGCTCAGTTGGTTGGAGCATTGTCCCACAAAAAGCCACAGGTTCGATTCCTAGTCAGGGCATGTATGAGAAGGCAATGCCTTCAACATAGATGTTTCCTTTCTCTTTCTCCCCCACCCCCTCTTCTTCCTCTTTCTCCCCCCCACCTTCCTTCTCTTCCCTTCTCTCTAAAAGCAATGAAAAAATGTCCTCAGGTGAGGAGTTAAAAAAATGACCACAGCTGATGATGACTCTTAATTAGATTATAGTCTTGCTGTTCTATTTAAGAACAACACTGTGGTGCCTATGTATTATTATTTTTAATGTATTAAGATACCTTTCTTTGGTAATGGCATTTCTGAATACCTGTCTTTCTGCTCTGTTTCAGGTGTGAATCATGATGACAGTGAAAGACGGTGATTTACTGCTTTGGGGGCATGTGCGTGTATGATTAAGGGATATAAGTGCAGGACTCCAAGATTTACTTCCTTCCTGTTCCAGTGGGGATGGCCAAGGAGAGTGAGTAATGGGATAATTTACAACGCCGCAGGCCCTTCGTCAAGAGACCTCTAGTCAAAACAGGAAGATAAACTCAGATTTCAACTGGGAGAATACAACTTTTGATACTCTCTGAGCACTTCTTTGCAAGCAGTAGTCTTCAGAATTTTTGTTTTCCTTTTTCAAGGAGGTTTCCATGAAAAAGGTTAGTATATCAATATTGGTTAAATTATGTAGTTACTTGTTAACATATATATATATATATATATATATATATATTTATTTATTTATTTATTTATTTCCTCCATGCCTTGTATTTCTTGACTGTTATGTTGTTGGGACAACGAAGAAACTTCATGGTCTAATTAGAGAACTCAGGTTCTTTTGGTAAGGTTAAGGTATTACTGAGGCTGAGGAGTGTAATGACAAATTCAGCAACTTTTTTTTTGGTGGAGGAAGCTTATCAAAAGCTACAGATAAACTATAGAAGCTTATCTGTGATTTTTTATGAACTTCATTCCAGTTTTGAGGTGGCAAAATGGGTAGTTGGGTGGATGTGGATAAAGAGTTTTTCCGCCAACTCTGTAGGGTGTGTGTGTGTTTAGGGCAAAAGGGTTTAACTGACGGTGGAGAGAGCTTTATCCAGATATACGTGTGAATACACTGCAAGCAAACACAGAAGGAGTTGAACAAGGCATTGGGTCATGTTCAAATGCTTCATTTCATCCTAGATATAGGCTCTAGATATAGGCTTCTGTGCCTTTATGTTCATGTTTTTAAAAAGTGCAGATATAGCATTTAGAACAAAAATCATTCTAAAATTCAGGTGTATCATCACTTTAGACTTGCTTACTGTTCAGAGGTTTCAGGCACCAATTAACGTGATGGGATCTTCTGACGTCTTATTGTTGGTGACATTAGATTTATGAAAAGTGAATGCCACAAGGGATATTTTAAAAATACTGATTTTTATCTTTCACTATGGAATGCCTTAGCGGTTGGCAGTAGACTTCTTATATTAGAGATCATTAAGATAAAATGGGAAGAGTTCCAAGATCTTCCTTTTTTTCCCCATCTGCTCTAGGCGACTAAAACGTTCCCATAAATAACAGGTACCCTTTTGAACTGACCTTCAGGTTCATGTGATGTAAATATTGATGGCCTTGACATTTCTTGGTATGTGCATAGTTCAGGAAACACCATATCTCCAGGTAACTCAAAGCAGGTGGGTGAGCGGGGAGGTAGCCAGGGTCTCTCACCGATCGCCATAATTCAGAGAGGCCCCCGCCATAATCTTATTTCTGGGCTTCGGGCTGGGAGAATGTCAAAAGCAAAACCATCTTCTAGTTCTTGTCCTCCCGTAGGTATTGACAGCCAAACCTCTCTGGATTGGGCCCATGTTAATCTGGCCCAGTAAGATGTTTTAGAGGAGAAATATGATGTAAGTGACTTGTTTTTTTCCCCTTTAAAATTGAGGACTTCAGTACCACCTCCAGGGTGTTGCAGAGAGAGCTAATTGTTCGGGCTTTGGAGCCAGAGCTGCTGGGCCCAAATGCTGGTTGTCTGACTTCACAGCAGTGTTACATGAGGCAAATAGTTTAACCTAGCTCAGCCTTTGTTTTCTCATCTATAAAGTGGGGACAATAATTTATTAGAATTAAATAAGAGCTATTTAGTTGTGGTGAGCACTTCAGTAAAGATTTCTTAAATGTTAGTCATTAATAAACTTTCAGGTATTCTGTGCCTATAGAGACTAACCTACAAAACTGGTAAGGCCCACAGCTTAAGAAAATTAAATCTTATCCCTTTGGAAGTCCACACTCCTGGAGTACATATGTATTCAGTTACATGAAAAGCATATACTGGGGAAAAAGAGCGACAATAGCACTGACTTTGCAAAAATGGTTAAACAAGTTTTATTTTGCTACAGGTTTTAAAGTAATTTTTCTGGTTTTATGGGCATGAGAATATTAGAATACTTGCTCCATTGTATTGTCAAGCATTATTAGTAGCCTTAATTTATACATCTATTGTGCTGCAGTTGTAGTTGCAGAACTACCCCCTGCAGCGATTATTATAGCACTGGAGAGGGCGGAATGACTGCGTTCTGTTTTGAGGGGTTTTTTTCCCCACTAAGAAGCAAGGGCACCATGAGATGCTACTTACCCATCTGTCTGTCAGAGAATTTGTATGTGTATTACCTGAGCACTTAGACACCACTGAGAAAGCGGGTTTAAAATGGGGAAGAAAGTGAAAACATTGCAAGTAAAATAACCTGATGGATTTCCAGAAGGCTCTTTTCAGAGAATACTTAAATGGTTCCTAACAGCGGACCTGGCAGCCGGCTGCCCAGGCACTCGCTGTCGTCTTTAGAAAACCAAGCCCGGCCCACAGGGCTGAAACTGTAGTGCAAATCTGGATGTTTTCCAGGAAAGTCAAGCAGTGCAAGCTTCTAGTTCTCAAATTCAGGGAGGAGAAATCCAATTTACAAAGCAACTGCTCCCATTGATTGTGAACTGTTAACATTTGGGGAGATCCTGAAACAGTAACTGATTAAAGTCTTCAATGCACTGTGATTATAATTGTGGCCTTTCCTGTTCTGACCCTCTGAATTTGTGTGTTTGCTTGTGCGGCATTCACTAAGTGAGGAGGAGAGAGCAGAGAGGGTTTTTCCTAGAGAGAACCACTAGAAAGATGTTGAATTCGGGTGAAATATTATTTATTGATTACCTATGTGTTCCAGTACCCAGTGCACGGCCCACTCCCTTGAAAACACGCCATTCGCCTAGTTCTCCTTTTCTAAATTCCACCAGATACAAAAGATACTCTGCACTGGTAGAGAGGGAAGATTCGAGGTGCACTTCACACCTCTGGGCTCCTGGCCAGCTTTTCTCCTTTGTATTCATGAGCACTCACCCTTTTTCATTCCACTCGGGGGAAAAGATAGTATCCCCTGCTCCCATATTTGGTTGTCTTAATTATTTCTCTAGGCAGCTCCCACCCCCAAGAACATGTATTTCTGCAGGATTCTTTTACCCATATGAGAAGAGTGGGGTCTGGCCTCCCATAATTCTCTGTTTCTCTGCACACTTAGAAGCCTGTGGTCTAATGGCTTTAGGAGAGTTATGGGGTGATGGGGCTGCAGAGACCAAGGCTCAGAGATCAGAGAGGTGAAGGAATTTTAAGATCCATAGCCAGCAAATGTCAGCATAGTGCCTAAAACCAGTGCACACTTTGGGATCTTCCACTGTGGCATACTGGTGGCAGGTAGGGAGGTTAATGATGGGGTCTGGGGTCCTACTGTGGTTAATGAATTGAAGGGGGCCGACTGAGGAGTGGAAGAAGAAGGGTTTGGAGATAGAACAAGAAACAGGTTTTGTCTGAAATTGTGTTCAAGGGGTGCCCTTTGGTCAGGAAGGGTGAATCTTCCTGTATAATCTTTTTCCAGTTATAAGAGACAAGGAGAAGGTTAAGAGTATGATGAAGCTCAGATATTTTTATTAGCAGTTTACCTTCTATGGAAACCATGAAAGAATTGCTGTTGATTCATCATCAGGTAATTTAGGGTCATGAAGTCTGGAGGATTTCTACCTGCTTGCCTCCTTCGGTCCCTGTTACCTTTTGTTTTGCTAAAAGAAAAAGTGAGGGAAACACTTTCCAGATCTGATAACTGTAGAGATCTCTAGAGAAACATCTGGCTCCATCCCAGGGTGAGGTCACACTGTCTGATATTAGTTGGGTTCACGTCAGTGTGTCAACCAGAAAGCAAGGTGTGTTGCGTGACTCCTTTTCGGCCGTTTATCAGCAGTGGCTCTTTGGTCAGCTGTACTTTGTGTAATCATAATTGTTCAGAAGCATGTGTGTGCCTTTTATTTTGCAGGGGGTAGTTTTAAATTCAGGAGGAAAACATGATGTTTAGCTGTAACTGGTATTATAGCTCTGGCCTTACCTGTGCTCACTCATTCAAACTTGTCTGGGCAAGTCTGGAAGTCCCGTCTCCTGGTTTCCTGGAGCCACTTTTTTCATCATTGTTCAAAGAAGCTCGGGGAAAGACAAGACTTAGTCGTGTTGGACAAACAGCCATTGCTGGTACCTCATAGGATCAAAACGATGTCTGTGTTAAATATATGTATATCTGGGAATAATATTCCTGACAATAACTAATGATTATTGACTGCTCACTGTGTGCCATGCACCATTGTAAGTGCTTTACGGGTCTTCACCGCAACCCTTTGGAGTTGGTGCTATTGTTAACTTATTTCACAGGCAAGGAAATCAGGAACAGAAGTGAACAGACAGGAGACTTGTACACTCTCAAGGAGCTTATGGCGGAGTTAGAAAATTAATGCTTTAATGATTCATTCAACAAGCTGAATGCCTACTACATATAAGCTGAGTTATAAAAATTTATGGACCTCCTGTGCTTTTCCAAATGTGCTTGCAATCAAATAGAGGAATGTTTATGTAAACCAAACCTCAAAATGTGCTAACAGAGGGGAGGAGAACTCCAAGGAGAGCATGCTGACAATCACTTGGATTACCTTCCAGTTGAACTCCTTCTGGAATCATTTGGAAACCCCGGGCCCCTTTCACTGGGTCAAAAGTGAAAGCAGAAACTCAGGAAAAGTCATTCACCAAAATCTGCGTGCCACATTGCGTATGCGAACTGACACCACTAACTCTGTTAGGGAATTGTGTTGGCAGCAATAACATTAAGTAACTGTGATAGGTGACATCGTTGGTGTGTCAGCAGCTAAATTAGTACCTTGGGCTTTAGTACCCGTGACCTTGGTTCTCATTGGCAGACATCACTGGATGGGACTGAGCAGGAGAGGAGGAGAGTGGCAGATGCTGCGTGATAGTGAAGACAGTGTTCGTGAGCTTGTCAGTCAGTCAGCTCCTGGGACGTCCGTGACATTTACTTATGCTGGTGAGGATACATGGGTAGGACGGAAGAGTGTTGGCAATCGTAGGGAAAGAGAATCTCTAGTAACAAATCTTCACTGCAGTTTCGGGTGTGCTTTGGGAACATGAATTCCGTGAAGTGCCGTTTAGCAGGTGTTTGTTCTGGCTGCCTCACTGTGACTCAGTTCTCTGTTTTGACAATGGTGATAGTAATAGAATTTACCTTATTGGGTTGGTATAATATTTAAATAAGTTAATATAAGCCAAGTGTAAATAGCGATGCCTGTAAACCATTGTCTA